ATTTTGTTTACATACATCAACTCCTCATATTTAATATTTAATACCATACGTGAAAAGTAGCAGATTTGCCTTGATATAATATATATTATTGTCACAAATCGGCAATCAGTTGTATGGAAAAATGTAACAATAATATTATCATTGCGATCGTCACAGTTTTTGTCTGTGGAGGGAACTCGTCGTGTTGCCCCAACCTAAACGGTTTTCCAGAGTATTTATCAACTCAAAAATGTGATAATAATATTATATATTGCTACCTATATATTATGTTGATATTGTTTACGTATAACTATCATATTAATATTGTTTTTGCGACAGCCTCGTGACTGTATAATATGTAGGCACCTATCCATTTTCCAGAGGTCAAAAGAAAAATTAAACTGTCCACTTGTCATTTGTTTTTTATATAATGTATATGGTACAATGGTCGACTTACAAAAAAAAAAAAAAATTAAAAAAGAGGACAATGTGAAAAATATGTATATATATTGCATACATAATATTATATAAATGATCCACCGTTATCGTGATGTTTTCCCCCAAGGACGGTGCGATGACGGTTTATTATAGAGGCTAATTAGTTGATGACGACGACGACATTGATAATTATGATAATAATAATAATAACAATTGGACATCAACCGCTACGTTATTATGATAAAATTATGCATGCAAATATTTTTTTATTTAAAATAATAAAAATTCTCCAGTTTTGACAGCAGAAGGTTTTCCGGAGCCCTGGGCAGATAAATTTTTCAGGACCCAAACTTTAAAGGCTTGACCTTACACTAAGTGGGGACATAGGGATATTGTTAAAATGACCAGCCTGTCCCTTCAATTAGCGCCATCAGAATGAACCATCTATTTTAGTACTTATCGAGTCTAACCCTGCACGGTGAGCTGGATAAAGTTTTAATAGATTATAAGACGTATTAAATTTAGTCTTCCAACCCATCTTAATTGTATAGTTATCAAGCTGTCATAGTCTTTGACTAAAAGCTAATACTAAATAAAATGTCATTTTATCCAGATTTTGGCCAATAAGCGGTATTGAACACTTATATATATATATATCCGGCAGTACTGCCAGTGATCGTTGGAAGAGATTTTCATAGGTATATGAATTTAAATGATATGGATTAAATTCAAATGGATTCGTTGCTAACAAAATATCCACATATGTCAAGTCTCGAGTTACATACGAATCAATGAACAATTAAGATAAACTGTATAAGAAGTTTGTTGAGTAAATTTACGGTAACAATTAATTTTATTAGACCAGAAAGCATACACATAATTTACCTATTTATAAAAAGTATCTAAGTTTTAGGCCGTCCTAATTCTGCATAATATAGCTTAAAGGCATTAGTTATGACATTGTGTTATACAAATATCGACTTTAAAAACGGCCTTAAACGGTAGTTTAATGTCCCGCAAACAGAATTGAAAAATATTTTCATGGTAATGAGTGGTAAAGTGGCCCCTGTTTTTTGGGACACTCGGTATTCTTACATAGAATGATGATTTTAATACCTACGTATTTTATATTTTAATCGTTCAGTTCTTCGCACCACACTTATTATAGTATCTACGAAAACCAAATTAAAATACAGGCTATCGTATCTACTATCTACACAATAAAAGAGTTATATTATAGGGGAACGCCTTATCACTACTTTTGTACTTGACAAAATTATAAATTTATTCCAACGCCCATTGTTCTGGTGAAGGTTAAATTCCAAATTATTTCTAAGTATACACCCAAGCCACCAACTCCTATGTTATAATACATTGTATAATGATGCTACCGCATGGAGGTTATAACCGTATTTGTTTTAGAGGTGACTAATTATATATTTACCTATATATAAAATGGATCTATATGCATATAGTTTTATGCAAGTAATAAAAATTATGAGATGATATATGAATTATTACTTTTTATTAGATCGTTTACCAAGAAAGTATACCTACGTGTGTCGTTCTATAAGAATATGTTTAACTTTTTTATTTTAAATGGAAGAACTGGATTTATAGAAAACATTTTAAGAGAATACTCAAATTTGACTATCTGGGTAAATATCACAGATGACAGATATAGCTTGGCTTACGTGAAAATAGTTTAGGTATATATCTATATATATATATATATATACACCTATATGTATATTAATGTCAATATTAATCTTCTATTCAAAATTATTCTAATACCTATTATAGGTTATGAGTATATAATAACATATATTGAACATTGGTAATAGTGCATTTGATTTTAACTACATTTTTTTTGTGAGATCAAACCAAATATCAAGTCAATTAACTATTATACAATATTTTGTTACTATATCCATTAGATTTACTACGTTTGCTCTTTATTTTTAGATACAAAATAATATTTTAGAGCCTAGMACCCTTTCTTTGTATTGATGTCTTTAATTAATTTAATATAATTGTAATATAATATGACTGATGCCAAACGCGACCCTAAATTTACTTACCACTCATTTGAGTCTGCCAGACTGCGTCGCCGACGCCCCATAGTCCCGATATAGTGAAGAACAATTTGGGATTGTTGGGATGGGGTCGCCATACAATCAGGATCCATATGAGTATCGAGTGGACGACGAAACCCAGCACCATCAGCGGCAGTCGTCCGATGTATTTCATTATGGTGCCGAACAGTAGCGAGCATATCGCATTGACCACGCCAAAGCATATCATCACGTACCCGACAGATGGAATGCCCAGGGCGCAGGACACGTACGCCTGAAATCAACGTAATGCTTGAGTAAGTCGACATTGTAATATAACAAAATAAAAATTTATAAATACAAGATAATCGGGATTTTAATTAATAAAATATTATCTTCAGTTTCACAAGCAAAAAGTCGACGACAGATCAAATTTTCAACATCCAACAAATAATTATTAAGAAACACTACGAGCATGATAAAGAACAAAAACTTGCTATCTGTGAACTGTGACCGACAGTAATGTAGATATGAATGTATGACATAGTTTATAATACAGAAAGGAATTACTCACCTTCGAAGAAAAGTCTTACGGAAAATTCACGGACTTGCCTAAACGGGGAATATAAGAAACGAAAAATAGACGATCTAGAAAAGTTATTTAACTAACTAAAGATCATATTGTTTCAAAAAGGAAAACAATTAGGGTGGGCTGACTTGGTGGGCTAAGAAAGTTGAATGCGAAATTTCTTAATCAGAAATTCAAAAAAAAAATGACCAATGGAAAGCGGTGGTTAGATAGGGCAAGAATTAATAAATCAGTTATCAAAAAATGTATACAAATTGGTATTGTGGTGATTTGGGATGGATCATGAATGGAGAAGGTTAGTGGAAGCATGCAAAGGACTTCAATGGCCTATAAGCACTTAAAAAACTATTTGCTCCTTCTCACTTAGCACAAAACTTGATTCAAATAATATCACTGTCTTGGGTCCTTGGGTTATATGTACGTCTATAATAAAAATATATAATCTTATAGACACATGGTATTTTGTATATGAAGTCACGAACGCAGGTGAGTTAATATTTTTTCTCATACTCAAGTGAATTATTTTATTATTACAATTTTGATTTCAATGAAAGATAATTAATAGCAAACAGTTCACGGTTTTTATGTAAGTAATAGAACTTATGACCCAACAACTTGTATAATAATTAACTATCATACAAAATTAATAATCCACATTGAAATGCTTATTAGAAAATTCAACTTATTGTCTATTGATGTTAATATTTGTAAATATATACAATATACATAAAATGGTAATAAATAATCTAGTAGGTACGTATATAATCTCGTGCCACTATACATAGTTGTATGCTACGCTTTTACTCCCTGACCAATCATCAACGTAGTTTTACTTACACCTCAAATCCCCAATCCAAATACCAATGTAATTACAAGATATGTATACAAATAGTAGAAAGAACTATAAATTATATATCCAAGTATTATCAATAGGTACATATTAATAATAAAAATGATGTAGTATATTATACTATACGCGCTGTGTTGTTAACGGCCATGGTCGTCGGTATAACCGTCTCGCTATCGACGATATAAATAGTGCTACATAACACATAAATATATATTATAGGACCTAATGAAGTTCGTATAATCCACATACACCTATATTATATTATGTTTACCTACATACAAAAATTATTTAATGTTATGCGTGGTAAACAAAAAAAATCATTCCGCAATATAGTGAAATAATAATAATAATTAATTGTTCGCTGATGATGACATACATAATATATTATCTCGGTGTATATAAATATTATAGTAAGTACTACTACTTATTATTATTATTGTTACACTACCGATTATAGAATGCAGTTTCGTGATACTAAAAATGTATCTCGCACGTAGCTATCCACGATACGCGTGTATATAGTTGGTACCGGAAGTTCACACACTGTAACACATTAAGATTTGCAAATTCGTGATAAACCTAATATTGTTGGTCGGTAAATTAAAGCGATTTTTCAATTGATTTAAGAAAGATATGCAATGGCTTACGAACAAGTAGGAAGACCCATATCTACTTTTTACTTTTTACCACTGCGTGAAACGCAGTAGCTACGATAATTGTTTTTGTTAGAGCATCGATTGTGTTGTTGCCACATTTTACGCAAATTGCAATAATTAAATAATGTTTTCACATATTGTAGTTTTTTTTTTGAAGCGTTCAATAAAAATTACATATAGTTGCATCGACATACGAGTACGCATGCGTCTAATCTTAACTCTAAAGTAACTCAACAAACTAAACGTATATACTGTAAACATACGTGCGATGACACTTCATTGTTAATATTTTGTTCACCTTTACTATACAAATACAATCTATATAAAAATATAAAATTTGATTTTCAATTACTTTACGCKTGATATTATGCAAATTATTATGTTGATACTAATCAACAATCAGTAAAAATAAAAATTTTTTTTTTAACAGATTTATTACAATATTGAATATATCTAACCTTGCTCGGTTTGTTCGTAAACCTATTATGTTATTTATTCGTATTTGAAACGGATTTAAATTTTTTCAAATGGTTACTTAATTGTTGTGACTCGTGGAGGGGATAGGATTACACCACAAGCACCCTTACAGACCGTCCTAAATCAACACCAGTTTTGATCGCATTTCGATCAACTGTAAACTGTATACAAGTATGAGAACAATAACTTCGCAAAAAGTGACGAATAAAATTATCTCGAATTTTAATTAACCCTCAATTGTTGTTATTGGTATAAGCTGAACACACTAGCACTGAAGTTTAATTTAATATATTTAATTATATACCTCTTTATATTTTATAGGAGTTTCTAATTAATAACAATTACAACAAAATAAAATAACGTAAGTGCGATTACTGACCTGCGTGAAATCAGCTCCGATGAACGCTTGTTCCATCCCAATCCAAATGGTGATCGGTATGAGGAGTTGTTGGTATGGTTTTTTAAGCTGATAAGCCGTGGCCGACAACAGTTGAATACCGGACAATTCTTGGCTATCGGCACGCCTCTGTTTCTCTCCGTATCTGTATACAGAACAATGTATTCAATTATAATTTGTAATCATAATAATAATAATATAATATTTAATAACAGCAAAAATTTGAAAAAAATTTGGGAAATTATTTTGTTAAATACATTATGCAGATTAATATTTCAACTTTTTTAAACGATAAAAAAAAATTATTATCCCCTATAACATGACATCTAGATAAAACTTAAAGTTCTTGTGGAATGAAGAACATAGAAAATTCCAATTTATGAAACCCTGTGAAAATGCATGTTACCAACAGCCACCATCGGGCCATATATTATGTTATGATCAATAATGTTAAAATTATACTGATAATATTATAAAGTTATATAATAATGAGTTGTTATTATACAATATAACTCTTATTATAATAGGTATATTATAATTGTAAGCAATATTTTATTTTATATTGGGGACATTTTGAAACATTGATTTTGTACCTATATATTTTTGTGTGCTCTATAATAACGTGCGTGTACGCTATGAATACAAAGTATTTAATAAGAAACTACAATGAGTGTTTAGATGTACCGCGCCCATGACAATTATTACTCAACGCTCGGTCATACTTTCGTATTCACAAAATACAGTAGTCAATAAATACTTATTATCTTTAAAAATATTAATATTTATGAATATATTCATTTTTACATAATTTAAAACAAAATGACAATTTGAAAAAAATTAAAATTTTCAATATATCGTTATTATTTTCTAGGTTTTTATATACTTTTTTGAATAGCAGTAGGTATAATTCATTTTTAATTTGGTATCACAAAGCAAAGTATTTTTCTAAGTATTTAAAAATATAATTCGAACGAATAGTAATTTAGTTAAGATTTTTAAGAGTACTTATTTAAACTTTAAAAGTTTAGACGAATAGAGTAGTGAACAACCATTTTTAGAGTATCTCTATAATAAAATTATATTTCGTTTATCTAAACTTGAAAAATAGCAAAACTTCCATTTTGTAATTACTTCTAAGTCTATTATATATATTTATATATTTATAAAGATATAATTCAGCAATACCGTACGTATAATGAGCGATTACTGTTAAAACAATCACTAAGTGTATGTTTATGTATGTGTAATATATGTATATTGTATATGTATATATAATATAAAAATATAGTATTGAACATAATATATTGTACTTTAAAATACGTTTCGTATTTTAACACAATATGTGCGATTTTTGGAGATCCCCTAATCGTATAATATTATTCATTACATTCTTAAGATGCCGTCTATGAAACAAATAACCCAATAAGTAACTTTTATAATAATTCACGTATGAATGTATATAGGTTTACGAATATATTTAATACATTTTTTTCGCGTTGACAACGAATAGGATATATATACGTATTATTATTTCGATGTGACGACGTGGTGACTATTAATTATTCTATTCATCGAAATAATATTTTTTTAACCACCTCACGATCACGCGATCAAATGTTTGATATATAATAATATCAGAAGACTTGACGGGACCCCAGCGCTACTATACTATAATATACCTATAGATACTCAAGCTAAAATCGTAATGTCATAGGTATGACATGTACAATATAATATGCCTTCTAATACTTCTATAAAATAATATACCTATATTTTACTTCAATTATTTTGACGTTTTCGAATCTAAACATATAGAATATTATAATATAGTCTTAATAGTATTATTTATTCTATCATTTATTAATTCTTAATAAATCTTAATTGTACATACCTATTCTGTATATAATAATATAATTAGTTCTAAGTTTATCAAACRTTGTTTAATTTCTATATTATCAATTATTACTATTCTGTAAATATTTTATGTTAACCTTTTTCAAAACGTCAAAATATTATATTMTTTTAGYCTTAAGTTTAGATGACCAATTGTCAGGAAAACTTTATAAATTAAAAAAAAATTAAAAAAATAGTATTATAACTTTGATCTCAAAAGCATTGCAATTCGTGCAAAATAAATATTCTTAGGTTGACCTTAAATACTTATATACTTTATATAGTACCTACAATAATAGGTAGGTACGCATGAAATCTAAAAAGAACCATCAACTGTTATTAATACTATATATAATACCGAATAAAATCAAACTTATACAATATCATTTTTCAATTTTGTATTATCAATGTGGCCGCCGTATACCATGTTTTAGCAATGCCGTTTTTTAGCTGCGAAATGATATATTCAACACATACGTGTTGAATATATCATGAATAATAAGTATTAAGATATCTTAATACTTATTATTATAAACTTTTATATTTTATCTTTATTTATCTTTATTGTATAAATAATTAAACATGTTATAATAATGTTGTATTTACGTATGTTTAATATTAACCATTTATTTTTTTATCAAATATATACACTATGTATTATGTAAATTGGACTAACGTACGTTAAATAAATAAATAAATAGCGAATGCAGTCTTTAGATGTTTGGATGGTCTGATTTTTCAATATTATTAAATATTTCAAATACCTTGAGAGTTTCAGCGAATTTTAGCAGCTACTGCGACGTTTTAAGTTTTTAATATCCAACACTAAACACCTATAATATAATATTAAACATATGTATAACAATTAAAACAGTTGGCGTTTGTTACGTGCTGTCTAGAAATACATCAAAAATTTTGCAATTGGGAGGGGGGACAATGGAGTTTAAAATTCAAAATATAATTAAATTTCTTGATTAAAAATATTTTTTCTATATTTAATAACATTCTATATTAGATCGTTTCTATTAAGAATAAAATATGTGTCTAATACCTGTACTAATTATATATAACCTGATTTCATCCGGTAAAAAATGAACATAATTTTATACGGCGCTAGATCGGCGGGTATCTCGATTTTAGTTTCCTTGCTGTTCACGTGCAAATCGAAATCGATGTATCTCGATTTGTGACTAAATTTAACTGAGATAGGTAATCTGACTGCAGCGGATTGGCTATAGCTCTAAGTATATTTTAAAAAATGATTCAAAATATTCTAGAAATTTCCCTGATATCTTAGGAAACAATTATTGAAACTTTGGTTAAAGCCAGTCGTTCAATTTTCAGTCTAAATGCTACAGGTATATTAAGGCTTCGCCTTTTGTAGTAAATTTTAATAACATAAAATACTATTTCTGCTTATTAAAACCTAGGACAAATAATTCTGTCTTCGATAATTTGTACAGATTGGCTACCAAATTTTTATTTAGTTTTTCGAAGTTTTGATCTAGATATAGACTAAAATAAATAGTTAGTAATTTATACATATACACAGTTGATGTAATGTTGATATAATCTTTAAAAATATTAACGATAAAAACTTTAATCGTACATGTATTTAAAATACAATATTTTTAATATAGCGATTGCCATTCTGAAAATGACCGTCGTACCGTTTTACGGTTAAAACTAATGGCTAGACTAACCATTATTGTAAGGTTATAAATTTATATTTTATACCTACCCAGAAGACGTTTATAATTTACTCTATGTATTGTTTTTATATTAAAAAATAACCTTATACTTATATATACATGCATTTACAAGTGGGTCAAATTTCAATAGAGACTGTGGTAATGGCGGGATAATTCAATGTTTAGTTACAATAGCTGTTAAGCACAATACATTTAATAATATAATATATATAAATGTACATATATATTAAATATATATTTATGTTTTTTGCAAAAGAAAATATTAGACAATTTTTTTTTAACCATTACTTTTAGAGCATCTTATTAAAACGAATATATATAAATATATATACATATAATATGCGTATGTGTATTTTAACGCTTAAAATAAATGAAACGTGCATGAGAAATTTAAAATTTACTTAAATAATTAAATGGTGAGAACTGTAGAGAACTAGGTAACATTTTTGGAAAATGTTTATTGCATATAACTAATACGCCAAATTAGGAAAACATGTTTTTAGTTTATCGAAATGAATAAGTTATTACTAGTGATTCTTAACCAAAAAATTAACATCTACTTTTACAACAACAACAAAAGTAAATTTTAGCAGTTCAGTAAATAATATGAGTGATAAGCTGATAAATAATGATTTATGCATAAGCCGGTATAGTTTACAAATTATAATAAAGTTAACAATAATAAACATATGTAATGATTACATTTCTGAAGAAAACCCGAGTAAGCGTTAATATTATATTGGTCGATGAAGGGTCTGGAAACATTGAACGCAACGAATTGGGATAGTTGGATAACAGGGACAGAATTTTGAAGTCAAACTGGAGAAGACTGGTGGTGATTCAAATGCTCTATATTTATAATAGATAATTCAAAGTGAACAAATAAAATATATGACCATTAATGGTTGGAACAATATATTATCACAATAACTTAGATAGATATATAAATAGCCAAAGATATTTATTATTTACCAACAGATAAAAAAAAATAATAATTATAATATAAATATGAAGTCTTGATGGCTAGTTATAATAATACAATCTATTAAATGATAGAATTTATTTTTATTGATAATACTACAATATTAGGGTGCCTCGTTAATTTTTACAAGTCATGAACAAATAACGAAAAACGGGTTCAACAATTTTTAATCAACTCGTAATATAAACTTACGTTAGCTGAATTTATGAAAAAGTTGATGCAAAATTAACTAACTAACCTTATTATATTTATTATGCAACTTAATTTTAATTTTCAACTGGTATTAATATTCAGCCTTGAGTTTAAACAGTAAATTATATAATATTATACGTATATGGAAAAAAATCGTGATTAAAAGACTCTCTATATGATACATTATTATTTAAAATGGTGTGAAAACTTTAAGATTGTTTTCGAATAAAATTATGTGAATCGCGCTGCAGGGTCTGCAGATTACTTCGTGATGGTTATATAGGGCATGGTTAGTATTAAGTGTGAGAACCTACTACTTACCTATCTTCTAAGGATTGATGTTAATAAATTAAAATATTTACATAT